CTCGTTCTTGCAGCTGATATCGTGTTTGATTATCGTCAGAAAGTGACGAGGTCATTTGAATATCTCCAAGGTGATTATTACATCGCGCCGCTATTCATGGTAATCAGTCAGTCTCATTCTATTTTGTCCTTTTAATTTTGAGAATATGCTTTTAAGTTTTAAGCATCCTCGCTTCATCATGATCAATGTGAATAAGCGGAAAAGCATGAATATAGCGTGTTCTATATAGCACGATCAAATTGGTCTTAAGATGGTTAGTTTGCATTTGGATTGGGGATCGTTTATCGTGCCATATACTTTATGTTTTCATATGCAACTAATAGGTCATTGACTGGTTTGGTACTCTTTGTTCTTTGGGTCAAGTTGTCTAAAAATACACGGAATGTACATTCTACAATTTCTGATATCGTTTTACTTGCTGATAACTTTGCATTTGATTCAATTCTCATTCTATTCTTACTTGATTCCCGTTCTTCATTTTTGTATTGGCCTTAATTTGCCTATAGTTCAAAGCTATTTTAGTTTTACTCCAGATAGTATGTTTAGTAGGTAGAGTTTGGTCTAAATACACTTATTATATTTCAATTCTATGATGATGCCCAGTGCATCTAGTTTGGATGATGGCGACTTGAATTCAAGCCTGATCTCCCATCCCGTCTCAAAAATGTTTATAATGATAAATTTGTAACTCCATTCGTAATAAATCATAGAAATACTTGAACTTAAATTGGATATGAAACTGATTTTGGAAGTAATATGCTATTTCTATTCACATATTTATTCCCTTTGTATTATCTTCTCATACATACTCCATAGAATTAAAATTTGAACCAAACATAACCTAATGTATAGAAGAAAAATATGTTATTTATTTGATACCTCATCCTCCATCTCTACATTGAAATCCTACGGGGTAGAAACGTAATTTTCTCTTTAATATTCTCATTCTTTATTTTCATTTTACTCTTAATATATAGAATTGTAATATATTATCTGATCTCTCACCTTCCATCTCCTCCTTGAATTCCTTATGGGCAAGAATTCAATTTCCACTTCAATTCATAGAATTTGGATTCCCAGCCTAAAAGTTTTAAGCCCCTGGTGGAATGAAATTTTATATGCAAATCATGCTTTAATTCTATATATGAAGATTAATATAAATTTTCTTCTTTTTAATATTAATATAAAGATTAAGTGTAGTAATCAAGTAGATATGTAATTTCCACTAACAATCTTCTGGTCTGTTTGAAAAGATTTTTAGGAACGCTTCTCCTACTATTATTAGATATTAACAACCTAAATAAATTTTTTGTTCATTTCCAAGCCAGAGTACATGTTATGGCCAATAATGTGAAAAGCACAAGAGAAGGATCCATGAACCAGAAGCAAAAGCCATGGTGGCATTAAACTCCTTGTGGTTTTGGCTTATGTTTCTATTTGAGAATTCATTAGGAAGAAAGCAAGATTGAAAAGTTCAGTTATAGCTGTCATGGGGATCGGTTATTTATGAATAAACTTGAATGGGAAGTTGAGTTATTTAGGAACAAAATAAACTAGAAAAACTGGCTGTAAAAGAAGACTGATCTGCAATCTGGTCTGATATTGGGATATCGGAAAACCAGTAGATTCTTTTCTATGTGAAATAAGCTATTTCACTAACAAAATGATCAGTAAAGAACTTATACCAAAGTTTGTAGAGTACCTAATTGTAGAGATCGGAGGGTTCTCTCCGACAAGTCCTG